CCAGAGCGAGAGAGCTTTTTCCTCCCCCCCGACATGACACCGCATCTGCCCGTGTCGTCCCACCCCGCCCACCACCTGCTCGACGCGCTGCCCCCGTCGCCGCACCACCGCCGCCTCCGCAGGCGTCGCCGCTTCTGCCCGCCGCGCCCCAGGGCCTCCTCCTCCTCCTCCCTCCGCTGCCGCGCCGCCGCCGCCGCCGCGCCGCAGCCGGCGGCGGCGGCGGCGGACGAGGCGAGGACGAGGGTGTTCGTCGTGTCGGACCTGCACACCGACTACCCGGAGAACATGGAGTGGGTGCGCCGGCTCGCGGTGCGGGCGGGGCCGCCGGGGGCCGGGGAGGGGTTCGACGCGCTCGTCGTCGCCGGGGACGTGGCGGAGACGAGGGACAACTTCGCGCGAACCATGGAGGCCCTCAGGGCGCGGTTCGACGCCGTCTTCTACGTGCCCGGCAACCACGACCTCTGGCTGCGCCGCGAGGGTGGCCGCTACGTGAGTGGATTCCGCCTTCCTCCTCCCGTCCCCGTCTCTTTTTTCCTCTGTTTGACTATCCGCATTCCTTGTGCTGCAAGCATGGTGTTTGACGAAATGCGTTGGCATGGTGCTTGCGCTGGATTTCTAGTCCTTTAGTCTGTCCTCCCTGAATGCTGAAACGCCCGCCTGCTTCCTGCTCGCCTTTGTCCAGTAAATACGTTGCCTAATGATCCTAGTTTTAGATGCAGTGCCAAGTATGCTAATGTGGTTTGATATTGATACTGGTTTTAAGCATGCTTGTGTAGTCGAGCTGAACTTCAGTTGTGAACCTAGTCATATGTTGATTGTATTGGACTATTGGTTCTTGTTTCCTGACTGAAACGGTTACGATAACGCATACGTCTGCATCATTTCAGTTGTGAACCTGGTAGGAGTAATACACTGATGTTATTGGGTGCTGCCACTTGGAGTTGTTTTTCTCCAACACGCGTCTAAATGTGCATCATTGTGTCAGAAGAACACGAAAGAAGGCGTGAAATACAAACCAACAATGGTGGAGGATGGCCAAACTGGAAAACAGAGCAAAAATAGAACGCAAAGACTGTAAGTAACAAAGCTACTCTAGCCTAGCTAAGAATCCAAAACCGGCTAAAAAGCCTATGCTGTGTTGCTACCTAAGCCGCTACTGTTGGTCCGGTGAGGATGTGCCCTATCCTGTCCGAGATCCAGAGCTCTGCATCATTGTGGATGGCTCCTAAGAATTAACTTCGAGAGACACTAAGTCATTAAGATGATCAGCGACCTGATGGTCTTCATCTTGTTGCCTGTGCGCCCAGCAGCAGTATCATCGGAAGATCGAACCCTTTTAAAACATCATACCAGACTTGCCAAGAGAAGGAACAGCCGGAGCAAATGTGAGATCAATGCATCCTCTTGTTTTCTCGGCGGACATGCATCTGGATTGTCATTATGTGGGAGTGTTTGAATAGCTTGGTACAAATTAGTAGCTCTTGCACATATGCTATGAAGCATGTGGTACAACTGAAATGATGCAATGACGATTATGATTTTGGATGGTCGCTAATACATCAGTTCATTTATGTTTTTCTCTAAGGAAAGCATTTACCCTTTAATTTATATTGGTTTGCTCATTTCTTACAGGTGGATTCGATGGAGAAACTGACTGCATTGCTTGATGCGTGTAGTGAGCTGGGTGTGGATACAGGCCCTAGAACGATAGGTGACTTAGGGATCATACCATTGTTTTCATGGTATCACAAGGTTGCTTATTTTTCTTAATTTATTGTCATAATTTTTCTAACCAGATCAAAATGCACCATGCCACTATGATTGCTTACTCATCTTTGTTTAATTGCATTCCAGAGCTTTGACAAGGAAAAGGATGTGAACAGTGTGCGTGTTCCTTCGTTAGAGATGGTAAGTTGATCTTTCGCTCAGTGTCTTGTTCTGATTTGTATGGATATACACGTAAAGATAATGTTGTTTATAGGTGTAGACATGTACTGGCTGTTTCAGTTTCTCATTTTTTTGTTCTGTGCAGTTCTCAATTCCTCATGACGTGCATGCACTGATATGTTTTTTGTGATCAGGCTTGTAAAGACTTTCATGCTTGCCAATGGCCTTCGGACTTGGGAAGTGATGATGAGGCTCTTGCTCTTTACTTTGACAAGTTGAATGACAAGAACAATGATGCTATTGAAGAAGTAAAAAAGAAGAGCAAACAGATACTTACATTTTCACACTTTGTACCAAGGTTAGTGCTCACACCTCCTATCTATGGTATGCCACTGGCAAAGGTTCTTTGTCCTAGTGATCTTGTTGATTCTTACCAAGTCACAGTTGTTAGGCAACTGTGAATCCAGTGACTAGGATACTTGCTATGTTTGATTAATTTACTTGCAACCCATCTTCTTAATTCAAGCTCGTATATTTGGAGATTAATAGTAATTGCACGGTAAACATGTTCACTTTGCAGCTATCATACCTCACTTAGGTGATCATCCTCTAGGCTTTTGTATTCATACTTGGCATTTATATTTCATTTCTTGTGATTTTTATGATAAGAACACCTCAAGGAAAAATCCTCTTGTCAAATTAAGGTTAGTGTCAACTAAGGAACCACTTTCGAAAATGCAGCAATTGGTCATTCCCGAGGTAGCCATTTGCTGTGTTACAGAGAATACAGATTGCGTAGTGGAAGATATTTATTTTCACGCGGCTGTGTAACTGCGTCAGGTTGCTGATGTAAGTCCATATGATGAATCCTGTCCCTCTTCATCTACCTGACCGTCTTTGCCTGTGTATTAGGATCTGCAGTGCTATTCAAATTTCATCCCTAAAATGCACGTAGGATATCTTAGCCGAGCCTCATAGCCCCAAAGTCCAAAACTAATGCCTTCTGCTCAACTCTGCAGGCAAGAGTTATGTCCAGAGAAGCGAATGCTTTACTATCCAAACCTTCCAAAGGTCATCGGCTCTGATTATTTGGAAAGAAGGCTGAGAGCTATACACAACAACGCTAAAGATGGAGCAGCCTGCCATGTATTCGGGCATACACACTTCTGTTGGGATTCTGTGGTTGACGGTATCAGGTACCGATCTAACCATTCTCTAGGATCGAAATGCACAATTCTTATGCTAACCAGATAGGTGTTCCAACACAGGTATGTACAGGCGCCTCTGGCATACCCTCGAGAAAGAAAGCGAAGGATAAACGGAGGCCAGGGATGGTTGCCGTTTTGTGTATATCGTGATGGCTTCAACCCTGAAATATACCCAGCTATATGGTCTGACTATTACAACAAGAACAGAAGGGAGCCTGAGAACACTCAGCTTGCGCCGTGGGTTGCCAAATATTTTTCAAAGTACTACGGACCCCCTGTTTTTGCCAAACAAACTGAATCCGGTTGAGCTGTCCGGTACGATGTTGAAATCTGCATCAAACAGAGAAAAAGAAAAAAAGGAGATATTGACATTTTACATGTACATGTTTTTTTTTTCTTTCTTTCTTCCCTTTTTGTATTTTTGTTGTTTCGTTTGCTACAACTCACAACTCTTGGGCAACGAATGGCCCCCTTGTGTTGGATGTATGCTGAAAAAATAATGTAAAGATGCTTGTAAGCAGCCTCGCTGCAAAGATAGTGACATGCAGAAGCCATTAGATATCTCTCTTCATCTACGGCGTGGCTGATGGGTCTCACTGCTCTCTTTCGTTGTGTCGCGGTGGAGTCGGAGCTGCCGTGGTGTGGTCTGAGCGGTGACGATCACAGACGGATAAATCGTGTGGATTTGATCGTGTCTCTCCTTGGAAACTCACTGTCAAAATCAGAACTGCCGGTTGCTGGCTTGTGATGTGGCTGCCTCTTTGCATCACCTTTTCACTGGAGTTTAGATCGAGGAATCATCTTTTCCAGTTCTACCTCACGTGAGATAACGATTTACATCATCGAACATGGCCTGGAATGGCCATCATTATTGACCAGAAAAATACATGCTCATAGTATATTCCTTTTTTCAAGAACATGCTGATAGTATATTCCCTGGCATCAGTATTGGTCCTTTGTAATAATTTTCAGCTTACAGTTCCGTCACAGCAGTTTAGGTTTGGGGTTTAAGCCAGCCATCAAAGGGTAGGACTTTCAGCCTATGTCCAGGATGTCCCTATGCAAGAGATCAAACGAGACGGCCGTGCATCTCTGTTCTTGCCGCCGCTTCACTTTAAGGATCTGAAGAATGGTCAAGGATTGGTTAGGATTAGCAGACTTTAGATTTGTCCTTGTGGGCTGGCGAGAAAAATATTTGATCTTGGTGGACAAGCATGTCGGTCCAACTAGACTATTTGGAAGTGGAGAGACTATTGGAACAAGAGAAACGCGTGTGTTTTCTGGTAGAAATCAACGCCGCCTCATTAGATGATGCAAATCATCAAGGAGGAGGCCAAGATTTAGGCCACCGCCGGTGCGAGATTGTCAGGAAGTTGTTAAACTGTGGAAGTCTAAAAATGAAAAGTCAGTGGGAGTCCATATTTTCAGAGAGATAACTCTGCTCTCCCAAACCTACGGGGATTGGATCTTGTTTCTGCTAGGAGAACTGCTAATATAGCTGCTCATGCTGCAGCTAGAGAGGCTGTGATTCAGCCCTAGTGTTTGTACCTTTGATGTAATCCCTATTTATCTGATTGAGGTTGTTCATTCAGATATGAACTCGCTCATTTCTGAATAAAATGCCTAGAGGGCGAATTCTCAAAAGAAAAAAAGTATTTGTGATGCCACGAGAGTAAAAACCTTGTTGTATCCTAGACTCTGGTTGCGATGCTTCTTCTATTTCAAGCATTAAATCTGTAAGCTCTCTTCTTAATTAATTAATGAGATAACTACATAGGAAATCAGTAAAACTTAGCATAGCGAATTTTTCCTAGAGGTTTTCTCTCCCCTCATTCCCTCCCCTACTAAGCGGCCGATAATGGGAGGGGAATCATGGTGCCTTCGCTTCGGTTGGTAGTTTAGGTTAGGTTTTTTTAGTCCTCACAATTACGGCGCTCGGGCGGATGTCTGCGTTTCTTCTTCGAATTTGTCTTCGGGGCTTCGATCTCCTTAGAATTCGTCTATTTGGACACGGTCGATGGAGCTCCGGCATGGGTTCCTCCCGTCTCCTTGCGGCAGTGAGGTTAGAGTTTCTCGTCATGTAGCAAGATTTGGTATCAGGTACTTCAGATCTATGCAAGGTTCAACAACGATGACTACGGCTCTAGGGCCTTGGTCTTTAGGGTCACGTGTACGAAGACTTCACGACTGTCATCGACAAGATCCGGCTCCATTAGGGGAGCGGTAACAACGGCACGTCGGTGGCTCGTTCTGGCGGCAATAGTGGTCGTTCGGCGGTCACGAAATCTTGATGTAGTTTTTATTATGTTTGAGATACTTTGTACTACATGTGAACTTTTATAATAGATTTGATTCTTTCGGCAAAAACAAGAATGAGGTAAATCTCGTGCTTTTTTTTTTGCCTTTTGGCTAGTGATGCATATGTGCAGCTTGCCTTTCTACTTTCTTAAGGCAAAACCTTCCCAGTAATTGCATCTATGTCCACCTTGGTCTTAGTTATGGGGCAGTGGTAGGCACCGGTCGACCGACCGAAATTTTGGCCAATCACCACCCCATCATCCGATTTTGACGCACGCAAGCATTCGATTCTAGCCTTTTCCCCAACCGATTTGCACTTGATATGTGTGCGCTCCTCTCCGTTCGCCCTATAGCGCGGTCACTCCCCCCCTCCCGGCAACCTCCATGGCCACCACCCTGGTCGTCAGTTGCAGTTCGTCACCCCTCACTCTAGTTTGTCATCCCTGTCATCGCAGCCCTCGCACCATCGATGCAACTCCTCGCCTCCATCGATCCTATCATCACCTCACGTTAGTTTGCCGGTTGCAGCAAAATGGTTAGCCGGTTCGTGCACTCTTAGTGTGTCGTCGCACACCACGCATCCCGTCACAACTTTTTTCGTCGCCGACTACAGCACGCCCCACCGATGGTTCCAACAAAATGGTTTGCCGGTTCCAGCATTCTTGGTGCGTCATCGCACGCCACAGCTGTTCTCGTCACCGATTGCAGCATGCTGCACCAATGATTCCAGCATTCACAGCGCTTGTCGCGCGCGGCGCTTCCCCGTCGCAGCTCTTCTCGTCGCCGATTGCAGCATGCCACACCGATGGTTCCAGCTTCCCCTGTGGCTGGTTGTAGCACACCCCACTGCGGCCGTATCTCTCCTCCACACTTGTCGTCGATTATTTGTGTTAATAATATAATTTCTTTGAGGGGATTGACAATATAATAACTTCAACTGAAAATACATGCTATGTTGCTGCAATTATAATTCGTTTTTTCCATCCTGAGGTGGGCTTGCATGTCACGTCAAAGGTGCACAAAATGAAACTAGAGTTGCAAGTGCAGAAACACAAGAATCTAAAACTAGAGCTCGAATGTCACGCACCCCTCAAAGTTAAAACCCAACCAATATCTCAGGCGGACATGGAGGCCCAGTCAGGTTTGCTGCATCAGATCTGATAGATAGGACCCACCCCAAATCCCTCCAAGTTGATCTAGTCCAACAAATGGACCGTCCTCCTCCTGTGTTCGTCCTCCATTTTCGCGTCTGAGTCGTCATCGTCCTGCACCCTTGCTCCCGTCCATGCCACCACCCTCGTCCACCATCATAGATGTCATGCCAAGTACTCCGTCCTCCACCACTGGCATGGATGATGCCTCGACGATGTCCGTGGGGTTTAGTTGCAAGGTGGAGAAATCACCCAAAGGGAGTGGCAAAGGAAGCAGCGTGAGCAGGAAGCTGCGGTGATGGAAGCTAAGGACAAGGAGTTGGTCCATATCGACGTGGATGCGTACACCCCGGTGAGGCCGTCGCCCCATCTGCGTCCACCCCACCGCTGAGAAGGAAGGTGTCAGCCGCCTCTCTTGCTAGTCCGTTCCTGTCACCCAAATGGGAAGGGATTCCAGATGTAGCTGGATGCAACATGATGCGGCGGTGATGGTGTATGACTCGCCGCAACTCCGATGGGTGCGCACAACCCTGGGAGTTGCCGACCTGTGTCTACCCAGGTCCTGTTCGACGAAATGGCATAGGAGGACACAATACATTATATCATTTGCCCCACTTTGTATTGATTCGTTCATTTGTTGTGTATGCCATTGGATCAATTTAGGGATTAATGTTGCATATGCCATTGAATCAGTTTGTCCATTACAAGAAATATGTCAACTTGTGACCTTTTGTCAGTGCCCCTGGAAGAAATGGTCATAAATCTACGACCATTTGAGACCAATTGGTAATGAGATCTTCGGGGGGCTCCAAACCCTAAACGATAACAACCATTTTGGTCAGAAAGGTCGTAATTTCTTTAAACGAAATGGTCGTAAAGCAAACAACACTGGTCCGCTGCCTTATTTCTAGCTGATCACGATCAATATCGATGGTAATAGCCTTGTAAATTGTGGTGCATTGCTATGACTAGGTGCCACCTCATCTGTTTTGCCTATGTGTCATGTCCATGTGTCAATTTTTTCCCTAGGTTGTGAAGCAGCCTATATTTATGTCATCCCTAAAATTCCCACAAAATTCTCATAAATTCTTTGAATCATATCTTTGCCAAATAAGCCAACAAACGTCGGCGTTTTCCGAAAAGTCTTCGTAGACCTCTTTCCGATGAAAAATCTTTTTTGTGTAATTCCAAATCCCTTCCTTCCCTAGTTCAAAAATAATTCAGGAATATTGAATTTTCTGCTCTGTCCAGAATAGCACTAATTGGACTCAAACTTTTTGGGCACTCTTCAATATAAAAATCATTGCCACATGCCAATATTCATCTCCATTTTCCTAGTAAATCCCCCTCAGCAAATTTCCAAAGTTTCTATCCAGAGAGAAGCTTTGTGAAGGAAGTACTAGCTAGGCTTTTCCAAATGATCTGAGATTTTTCCAAATCTTCCATATGCTCGAATCATCACTCTCCACAAAATTTGAGCTCTTTCCAGCAATCCATGTGAGATCATCATCCAATCTTTTACTCTAGTCATATTTTCAGTTTCTGAAGCAACTATAATTTATATTGCTTCATTATTGCTTAAAATTTACCATGGCATGATCCTACCTATATAACTTCCCTCCACTAAATATGAGCTCATTTCATTTAGCTAATTTCTCTCAATAATTTTTCCAAGTTCCTGTCCACAAAAAAGCATTCTCAAGGAAGTACCACTTTGGCATGTCCAAATGGTATGCAAATTTTGCAGTGTCTTCCTATGCCCAAATGACCATCCTCCACCAAATTTCAGCTCAGTCCGTTCATTCATTTGAGCCCAGCTTTAACATTCATATTTCCGTCCAGTGTGATACTTTCCAAA